TATATATATATATATATATATATATATATATATATACAAATATATAGTTATAATATGACTTTCTTTAATATATATCAGTCCTTATCCCGATTTAATTTAAATTCCAATCATTTTTCATTGTAAGCAGTGTTATGTCTACATTTCTGCACAGTAAAGTAAGTTTAAAGGAAAGGGGCGGGGCGTCGGAGGACCAGAGGCAGCCGGTCCAAAACCGGAAGAGGAGAGGAGGGCTCAGGCTTTTGATTGGACCAGAGCCGAAATCAAATCTGACGTCACTGAGATGGGAACTTCGGGGGGACTATTTAATAAAGGCTGTGTAACTTGCGTATTTTTAGGACTTCCAGTTGAGATTAAAGACCATGGCGGGGATGCGGACCAGAGGAAGAAGAGGAGCGGACCTTGGCAGAAACATGGCGTCCCAAGCGGCAGATATCGCCGCGCTGCTGCGCCATGAGTGCTCCCTGTTAGTGGAGCTGTATGTAAGTAACCAGTTGGTTTCCATTAGTTCAGAGTGGGAAAGAAAACCACCTTAATCCCTGTTTCTGTCAGAGAATTAGGTCAGGGTTTAATGGGTAATGAACTGGTGCGCCTCTGTTTGTGTTTGCTTGACTTGAATAAACAAAAATAAATGTTTTTTAGTGTTTTCAAATAGTTGAAAATCAATAACAGTTCTAAAGCAAGGTTAAAAAAAAAGGCATTTTTTATGTGAGAGCAAAATGTGATGAGAAGATCACTGATTGTAGATTGGTGAACTTTGAATGACTGGAGGTTTGTGTTTATACAGCTACTGTTTTTTTTATTTTTATTTATAACTTCCCCCTTGGTTTAAAGCCAGCAGAGTCCTTTATTCTGGCTTTTGTGTGTCTGACTTGGGGCACAGGGAGCGGCCTGACATGTAGCATCACATCTACGGAAGCCTCCCTCAGTGCTTCAAACATTAATCAAGTTCCAACCACAGACCTCCAGAGTGTGGACAAGTACAGTAATGTGTAAGTTATGCATACCTGTGAAGTGGAAGTCATTTATTTTTCCTAATGCCCAATCTGAAATATGCCTTTGTATAAACTTGGATTCTATCTCCAAGTCAAACAAACAGTCAAACACGGTGGTGGCAGCATCATGCATTGGAGGGGATTATCTGCTGCTAAGGAAAGCTGGTCAGAGCTGAACAGAGCATGGATGGAGCCAAATGCAGAAGAATAAAACCTAAAACACAAAACTAAGATCAACCTTAAAGTTTTAGCATGTAAAGTAGAGCTGGAGCAATTAATCAGATTCATCCTGATGAATCTAGTATTTAGTAATCGATTAATCGTTAACTGGAGCGTAGAGACTTTAAAACCTTCAACCCGTCTTGAAGAGCAATTACAGCAAAATTGGAAAATAAATATGTAAGCATTTTTCGTTTAAGATAAAAAATTTAAAAAAATGTTTTTGTCTCTCAATCTGCTCTATCCAGAACTCCTCAAGTGGAAAAGTTTTTCTTTCACCTGGTTTAATTCTGTAAAAAAAAAAAAAAAATCTTCTTTGAGGAACCTTTTGCTATCCGATTGTTAATCGATGAATTTAAATATTATCAACAGATTTGCAAAATAATCGTTAGTTGCAGCCCTAATCTGACTGATAAGTTGTCAAGTGATAAATATCTGGTATAACTGGAACTGCGACTATAAAGTTGTTGTTTCCTGACAAACAACACACTAACCTGTATTTTTAGATTCACTTGTTTGTTGACAGGGTAGTTTGAAGAAAACCTGCTAAAATAAGGGATCACTTTTATGGCTATATAAGCATCGGTAGTTGTTGTTTATAGAACCTGGGGAAAAAAAGAGAAAAATCTGTTTAAAATTGGACTCATAATAGTTTATATCAAGTCAGTTTGAACTCTAGACGCCATAGAGTATAGATACTTATATAAAGAGGCATCTGAGAGTTTTCTAATGATACTCCCACCTGGGGGCAAAACGCAGAACTGCAGCACTCTCCTGCTTGTTCTTGCTATTGACGAGATTTTTATATATTTTTTACCTTATGTGGAGCTGCCGTTGGTGTCTGTATTGAGCTGGATGTGGATCGCTTCTGAGTACTAACAAAATCCATCAGTTTTTTTAACGCTTTGTTTGCTAAGTTGGATCCATTTAACATGTCGTCACATCCGCCAAACATCGCACTAACCTCCGACCCGAAATATATTCCGGAACATAGGCTACAGACTTATAGATGCATCAATGTTTAACTACCAAGGTGTCGGTGTGCACATCTAATTACGCTTTAGGCATAAAATGTCAAATCAAAAGCCTTTTTTTCATAAAAAATGTACAAAATGTCTAAAGATTTTGGTTGAGAAATAGTTGTAGATGTTCACTTGTTTCTAAACTTTCTAAATCAAATAAATTAAATTGGAGCTACTGTTGTATTATCATCATATTATAAAATAGATAGCATTTTGTAGGTTTTTATTTTTGCTGAGCCATTACCTTAATTTCTGGCAAATATAAGTTAATAGAATTGTATTTTGAGGTGCATTTACATGCCACTGTGTATAAAATGCCAATGTGACTCTGTAGCTGTGTCTAAGGAAAAGCTTTGTTTAGCCTCTCAGTATAAAATCATATCTGAAGGATGCTGTTATTTCCTGGCAGCTCATCCCCGGGTTATTTAGTGCCTATGAAGACACAGGTTTGCGACACCCTTCACTCGCCTATTAAATCACTACCATGCTTGCATCATTATGATAGTTTGCAGTGATTCATGGAAATATTCGTTCCAGCTGTGCAGTAAATTCCAGAGGTATTCCCCACCCCCTCTTTCTTAACTTTCACAACAGACGGATCACATCTGAGCCTTTCTTCATATCAAGGTGCGTGCATCACAACTGTTAATGTTACTAGTCGCCAGCTTCAATAATGCCTCCTAAGAGTCACTGTACCATCACCGCCACTGCGCTCTGAAGCTGACTTTATTCAAACATTTTAACATTTAACAACGGTTTTAAATTAGTCTAAAACCTTGAAATGGTTCCCAATTCTTTAAGATTACAGCAATGCAAGGGAGGTTTGTTTGTATAGCACGATATCGGCACAAAGACAATTCAAAGTGCTTTGCATGAATTAAACATTAAGATAGAAGAGAAATAAAAGCTAATAAAAAGATAAAAACATAATAAAAGCAGGTAGTAAAACGAATAAAACAGTTGGATCATATCCTGAAAGTAATAACACCCCAGATAACAGTTTAACTTAAAAACCAAAGGTAGCGCTAAACAAATGGGTTGGTTTTTATTACTTTAACTTAAAGGAAAAGTAAATATTCAGAATTCAAACTTCTGAAATTACTTTGAATATAAAATTATTACATACTGTTTAACAAATAAGTGTTTTAATGAAAAGAAATTTTCATTTGAACGTGTTTTACTGGAGACATCCATGTTTGTCAAAGAACACTACTGCCACCTACTGGTTTTTGACGTCACGGTGCGGTATCGGCTGTTGATCAAGTCCCAACGCACTATTATCCAAGTCATCTTGAAAACATTTTTTTTTTCAGAAATGTTGGCTACATATTACATGTTTTTTTTTTTTTCTCTGGCCAGAAGTTGTTGGCAAATCCGTCCGTAGTGGATCATGAATCTGAAAGGTAAAATAAATAAATCATTTGTTTTCACTTTTAGCCGATGTATTACAACATCCAACAGCCATGCATGGTAGATGCAGATTTTAGGAGAGAGGTGTTACTATATTTGGGCAAAAATGGCTGCATCCCGTGATTGTAACGAAAATTATTGTTTTATACTGATTAACTCACTGTTCCTTTTGCCTGCACAGAACTAGGGAAGAAAGCCTTTAGCTACGCAGCTCTTTGTGCGTGGAATTTTAATTTTTTTTAACAGTGTCCTGTCTGGCAATGTGGCAATAAGAATAATTGTCTGATGCCAAAAAGAGCCCAACAGATTTTACTTTCACAAGTGGAGCAGTACGGCTTTATTATAATTATGTAGGGAGTTTTACAGATTATATGGACACTGCAATGTAAGTAGAACAGGAAAGGAAAAACAGAAAAAAAGGAGAAAAGATGAAAGAAAGAGGAGATAAAAGGGAGATGATGATAAAACATTTTCAGTCTGTTTCATCACCTGCAAAGAGATGTAAAAAGAACAGCACAACCAACAGACATGGAACGAGATATACAATAGAGTAACACCTAGATACTATCGCTGAAGTAGTATTATTTAATCTGACATGTATTCTGTGTTACCTGAAGATAAGAAGATGGGCTTTCTGTATGGAAGTGAATCTCTGAGTACCTGGAACCAAGCACCTGTGCGTGGAATTTTATACAAGGAAACAGGAAGTTGACTGACTTTTTATCTTTTAAATTCTTTAAGTTGAAAGTAAAAGGATTTGAAGCAGCCTCAATGATCTTTTTTTGTTTTACTTGATATGTTTTTAATGTCATTTAATTTATTGTATCTCTGTTTATTAAGTAACTTTGCTCCCTCTTGGCCAGGAATCCCTTGAAAAAGAGGTTTTTAATCTCAATGGGATTTTTCCCCCCTGGTTAAATAAAGGCTAAATGATGGATAATTAATTAAATCACTGCAAACATATTAGTTTAAGGTATAAGTAATGATCCATTGATTATTCCTTGCTGACCAGATTTTTCCTTTAAAATAACTCAGGCTTTCAGCACTTTTCCAGTCTTCTGGCAGTTTATTCCAGATACCGGTAAGTGGAGCATAGGAACTAAATGCTGCTTCTCCATGTTTGGTTCTAGCTTTGGGTGTACATAGTAGGCTGGAACTAGATGACCTGAGTGGTCTGGGAGGTTGATACACTGACAACAAATCTTATGTATTGAGGTGCTGATTCAGTGTTTTATAGACTAACAGAAGGATTTTAAAGTCTATTCTCTGAGCCAGTTGAAGGACTTCATAACCAGAATCACTTTATTAATCCCTTGCAGGAAATCCTTTTCTTGCAGTGAAACTGTTTACAGAAGAGAGAAAAATGAGTACAAATAAGCTATAAGAATAAATTAAGGATAAGAAGTAGTAAAATACAAACAATTAAACGGGAGCTCCTGCAAAAGGCTGCACACGACACTGTTGCAATAATAAATGCTTTCAATTCAGTTTATTTATTATAGTGCCAATTTTAAACAAATGTCATCTCAAGGCACTTTACAGAGACAATGCAGTCAGATTGGTTGTTTCTGTCAAGGAAAACCTTATGATTGCATAGAGTCATTGACTTAAGAGCTATAAGAAAGGTAGATTCAAGGAGAAACGTCTATCCAAACTGAAATTCTCCCCCCCTTGCGTCTGGTGGAACCAGTTTTGCTGGTATGCTTAGGCACCATCTGAATTTCTAGGGAAGCACAGCAGTTTCTTGCCAAAGTACAATGGGGAGCCCATTCGAGAACTCACGAGAACTTCCGCGGATAGTCACGAGAACTTCAGCAGCACCGGAGGGAGTGTTCATCTTCCAAAACAACAATGGCACGTCTGCAAGATATCAAGGCCATGGAGATGGATCTAGAATTGCTAGACATCGAAGAGGAACAGGTTCTGTTAATGGAGTTGGCAAAAAGACAAAGGAGGATGCATAGGTTGTCCATTGTAGTTGTTCCTCGATTTTTAAAAATAGCGCTCCCCGGCACCGAATCGTGAAGGATGGAAAGACATACCAAGGATCAATCACAGTTGCTGTCTGCCCATTTCCGCTTGAGGTCTACAGAGGTTTGCGGCCATCCAAACGTGTGGTTGGGATTTTTTTGAGGTGCGAGACGACGGATACAGAACCTCTGCGCAGGGTGTGTGGTTGCGGACAGAGATAGATATGACATTTGCAAAGGCTATGCGTAAGAAGCATAAATTGGCCTTTACCCAGCAACTAAGCACACAGCACTGTGGTTATTTATGTGCCTCAGAAGGTTCAGTCCATCATGGCACCAAGATTTCAACCATAGTCTGTGATTTCTAGCTGTAGAAGGTGAAGCTGTGCGCCAATTCTGGATCTCCTCTCCGGTGGTCCGAAGATTACCTGAGTCTTGCTTGTCACTTCGATACCTCAAAAAAATTATTAAAGGCCCAATTCCATCAATGTAAAAGGAAGCCATCAGTTTGCATCTTTTTCTTTAAGGTACGCCTTTTATTTTGAAATTGACAATAAATAAGCTAGTAAAGAGGTTATTTATTATTATAGTTTTGTTTTATAGGTAGAAGAAAGATTTTCAAGCCTATAGCAGCTCCAAATAAAATTATTTATTATTATAGTTTTGTTTTATAGGTAGAAGAAAGATTTTCAAGCCTATAGCAGCTCCAAATAAAATGTTAATTGTATAGATATAGACTTTTTGCTAAGATGTGTCTACCAGGACAGGCTGCACTGTCGGGTTGAAAGGAGAGCAGCAGTGTTAAATATTTTGCCACGTAGTCTTGATCAGTTTTAGGTCTGGACTTTGATTGGGCCGTTCTGACCAAATGGATTTAAGAGTTGGTTTGTTGATCTATCTGTAAGTGTTTGTCAGCCTAACAGGGTTTGTTCCAGTGCTGTGGGATTTGCCTCCATCCATCTTTAGATCTGCTGTAGAAAATCCCCTACAGGGTGTGATGCTGCCACCAGGTTTGACTTATGAATGATGGTTTTCACTGCATCTAACCAGAGCACCTTTTGGTTGTTTTTCTTTTTGTTTCTGTGTTTGTGGCAAAGAGCAACAGAACCTCAGAACTAGTAGCCTAGTAAACTAGCCCCACCCGCCAGCGGCCAACATCATTCTTGCCTGCGAGTGGGTCTAGCCTCGATCAATGCCCCAGGCCCTAGAACTGACGGGCCAATCACAAAGCAGCGATGTGTTTTGAATGTCTAAATGCAAAGTGGGCGGGGTTTTGAGGGTGGGACAACAAAGTTGCACAACGCTGGAGAAAGCACAACAAGGAAGATGGCAACAACTATTGAACAGTTTTTGTTTGACTCCAGTTTGGAATCAGTTTTGGAAGAATTAGACTCTGCGTTTTTGTTGAAACATGAGCAGGAAGAGGCTCTACGCTCATTCATTTTTAAGAAGGACGTATTTGTCATTTTACCAACAGGCTATTTGTTCACACTTCCCCACCAGCTTCCTGTCACGCTTACTACGTCACAGTCAGTTGCCCTCATTGGTCAGAGCGTTGGCCGATAGGCACAGACATGGTTTGAGAAACAACAGGTTGTTCTCATCAACAATCTTCCGATGTCCCCTTCATCGGGGCCAGACTAAATTAACCATTTAATCTCATATTTAGTCTGGATTATCAGGCTACAGAACTATGGCTTTCTACTCAATTTTATTCCAATTACATTTTTTATTGAAGTCAGATTTGTGGGGTCGTCCTGTGTGACAGATTCTAATCTCTCCAGCACCTCTAGAGTTACTGCTGGCCTTGGCGAGTCTGAATCCAAATATTAACACTTGATAATGTTAGAAGGGTATGAAAATTTTTTGAAAGGCACAGATCTATTCATGTTTTTTACCATCAGTGTGTTGGCATTACTTTTCTGTAGATTTTTGTTGCAACAAGTTTTTATTCAGTCTTTCCGAGGAGTGGGTCAGCAGTTCCAGTTTGCCGCTTGGAAAACCTTTTAGGGATTTTGATTAGATATGCATTTGCTATCATTCTGAGAGTCTCAGGCTCTGGTTACAGCTGGTGTTGGTATAAACTGGCAGACATTATCATTCGGTTTAGTTCTTCACTGCTTTCCCCCTCCTCAGGCAAAGTTTTGTTGTAATTACACCCATGGTACATTTTCTCATATTTTTCAATCCTTCCAGAAAGGAGTTAAACCAAGAGAACTTTAGAGATTAAGCACATCATCAAGTCTAAAGCAGTCTCAGTTAAAAACCAGCAACATATAGCTATTTTGAATCATTAAATAAATATTTGTTTAACTCTCCGTGACCTGATGTCGCTGGCCTGTTTCTAGACATTGCATCATGTTTGAGACCCTGTGGAAATGCCGACTCTCTCATCTGGCTTGTTTAGATTTTTTTTTATTTCTACGTTTCCAAACCCCAGCTGTTTGTGGGCTGAGTGTTATGAACGAGTCAGAAAAAATTCCCATCCCATAAGACCAGAGTTTGATTTTTTTTCTTCTCAACACTCGTTTTAAAACAAAGCGTTTTAAAAAACTTTTAAAACGTTCGTCTCTACCTCCCCTCTCACATCTCTCTCTTCTTCCATCCTCTCGTATCTCACTTTAGTTGTTTTCTTTTTCTTTTTGATTCCCTGCATCCTAAAGAGGAATAAAGAGAACTTTCCATCAGATGTGGCCGGGGTCCCCCTGGTTTCCATTCCCTCTCCTTCCTCTCACCTGGACCCTGGAGACAAACTGTGGCACCTCCATTCTGCTCTGGAGCAGTGCTGCAGCCTAATGGAGAGAGCCATCACCAGGGAGAAGGAGGAGTTCGATGGAGGGGAGATGGGTGAATACCAGACGAGAAGGAAGATGGTGAAGGACCGACTGTCGCGTCTAGTGATCGTCACCAGAGACCTCCTCAAAGCCACTGATGGTCCAAGCATTGTGACCCCGAGCTTGGACGCCTCACAGGTAGGTGTCAGCAGAGATGTTTTCAACAAGACAGGCTGGATTAGAAACACAAACGGAGCATATCTTGTCTTCTCTCTGGCAGTTAGATGGTCCCACCGCTCTGTTTGAGCTGAAGCTGTGGGTGTATGGAATCTTCATGGAGGTGGAGCACTGGAGCAATACGGCCATCCAAATCTTTCAGGATCTGCAGCCTGACGCTACCAAGGTGCCGTCGAAGAGGACGAGGAGTTCAAGGATCACTCCGAGGATGAGATGAGGGTGTTTTAATGGGAGATAAAGGATCAGTGTGAAAAGAACAGGACTATGGCGACAAACAGGCTGATATGGTCAGGCAAAGGGTAAGAATTAATAAGAAACATTGATCATCAGTAATAGAAGAAATATTGCTTGCTTTTTTATATACTAAACCAGAACAAAACTCATTACCTCAAACAAGAACCCAAACAAAAATGACATGTTAACTGGCTTTAACTACTAGTTAAACCAGTTTCTTTTTCTTACTTTCCAGGGAAACAGAAATAATGCATTAACTTTCTGTTTCTTGTTATAAGAACTGAATCCTTCCATTGGACTCTCCTGTATTTGTTACACGATGCTGGCTTTGCACTGGAGTCAGATTTCTTGAAGTTGTGTGATCGTTTAGATTGACAACGCTTCGCTTAAGTAGTCATGCTATTGCAGTTTTTTACTTCACTTTATTTCATTGTGACTTTGTGTGATAGTGCAGCATCTTAGTGAATTTAACATAGGTGTTCAGAACTTACCGTGTGACAGAGCTAATTTCACTTTCACCCTCCCGTTGAACATGATGGTGGAATAATGATGCTGTGGGGTAGCTTTTCAGTTGGGAACAATTAGCTGGTCAGTTGATGGGAGGACAGATGGAGTTCAACACAGGGTTCATGGTGATGTTCAATTAAAATTTTAATATATATATTTTTTTTAAATAAGAAAAGTTGTTTGTCATACAGGTTGAAAACACTAAATACTTCAAGGGGTGTTAAACGTTTTTACCCTATAGTGTTTGGTCTTTCTATTTTCTATTCTGCAGTTAAAGATCTAAATCCTCTGGGCTGAGGAGGTTTTGAAGAAATATTTTGTTACAGCACCCTCTAGTGTTCATTCACTGCTATTATTTTTTTTTGTTTCATTTTCTGATAGCTTAATTGGCCTCAGTGTTTGTCACCGGATTGAAAAAGTGTTTTAAGATTTTTATGTTTTAAATAAAGCACTTTATTAGCAGTAAATTAGCCCAAATAGGAAATGTTCTGAAGGAAATTAAAATAGACATTAAAAATAAGAGTAAATACAGGTATGACTTGAAACTTTTTTGTTTTCTTTTAGAATTTTTTTTTTTTTTTTTTTTACTTAACTCAGAAAATGTGCACAATTAAATACATAATTAAATGCGATGCTTTAAGATCTGCATTTTAACTACGTTATGGCTTTAGACCAGAGGTCTTCAACAGAATCTGAATCAGAAATACTTTAATAATCCCAGGGAGAAATTACTTTCGTTACATTACTCCATCTGTAATAGAGTGACTATAGGACCAGTTTGATATAACACAATTTCATACAATATATATAATTAGAGGGTCCCCGCTCCATCTCTCCATCAGTTTGGGGGTCCTTGGCCTTGAAAATGTTGAAGACCCCTGCTTTAGACAGTAATCGTTGATATAAAATCTGTTTATTATCTGCTGGGATGATCGAATATTACAAAAAGCAATATTATATTAGGAAATGCTGCAGCTGATATTAATGGTAAATGACTTTGTGCTGCGGTTACCTGGCAGTCTTATCTGGGCCGCAGTTCTAATTAAATTAGCCTCAGCCAAAGACTCTGATTGTCTTTAAAAATGCATGAAGCTTTGGAGGAAGAGAAGTTGATGTGAACAGGATTAGAACCTTTTTAAAAGTCAACACCTGACTAGCATCCACAGCTGCAAGAAGGAGTAGCAGAAAGAGCTGACAGAAGATCCTGAGAATGAAACCGTGTCTGACTGCTAAGTCAGCAAAAAGAAGACAAGGGAACCGTTTATAGTTGAACAGATTTCCCTCAGTTCTTTGTTTTTTTACCTGATTAACTGATGGTAAAGGCACTGGAAGTATGACTGTGTTGGTGAGACAACAAACTGACTTCAATTAACTAACTTAAGTGTTTTGAGTTGCAATCATTATTAAGACACCTTAAGCTAAAAAATTATATGAAAAACACAAGCTATATATATATATATATATATATAT